AGCAAGAAAGGTTTAAGCCCAAATGCCCGCGCTTTTGTACCATCCAGACAGCAGCAAATTGCAACATGTGGCTTGAGGAATAGCTCTAATTCTAAGACGATAATCTCAGCACATGATAGAGCCTTTTTGGATGCTTTGGATAATCCAACGCCACAAAAATTTGCACTTTCTGCTGGTGCACAATGCTGCAATCTTCAGGTAAGAACATCAACAAAAATATTCAATCTCAAGCCTCCATTGTAAAACCTAATATGACTGAAGGAGTTGTCATTAGGCAACTCCCAATGCGAGTTACAAAGCAAAAAGGGGTTGCCCCAACCACGTCTACGTGGTCCAATCGCTCCAGAAAGAAATGATGAATTTTGAATACATATTGAAGAGGTTTGAAGAAGAAGCCAAGGAGTTACAAATTGAAGAGTAAACAAGGTTGAAGAAAGAGGGGCAAGACTCAATTTTTTACATTGTTTTATTTTGTCACTTTTTAAGTATCATCATTTTGTAACATCATCACAGAGTATGTTCTAAACTCTGTGATGATCATAGAATACTTAGTTCGTAGTAGTTCGTATTTTCTTCATGCTTGTAAGTAGATGAGTTATTTTTATGCCTCAATAGGATTAGTAAGGTAAGGTTTAGCCCAATATTTGTTTGCTTTAGTCCTGTGCCTTTGGGAATATTTCCAAACGGCTATGAGATTATATGCCCTCGTGAGACTTTGCCGGCAGCTACACCATGATCCTCTACATGAGGCTGCCATCATAAGGCAATGTGAGGAGCAGATGAGTGATTATATAGTCAAGGCATAAAGGCAACACTACTAGTGCTATTGTCCCCCTTATTTGTACTCTTCCTATTTGGTTTCTTTTTTATTATTAATAAAACTAGCCCTAGGCACCTCGCCTAGTGGATTTGCTTAAAAAAAAGCCCCGAGCAGAGAACACTTTGAGAAAAATCGTCTAGCATTGGGGTTGATAAAACCCAACTGAGAACCTGGTCCCTCAATGATTGGCTATGAAAGCAATGTTCAGGTAAAATTCGCTAAAAAGTGTTTTCTGGCAAAGTCTAACTCATCTCTATACCGTTACAGGTAGACACGCTTGATGATTACAGAGCAACAAAAGCAATTGAGGCAATATATGCTGGTAAAAAGGGCAAAGCTTACAAATAACAAGATTAGTCAGGGAACCTGGTTCTCCTGACACAGGTTAGTAGTTTCTCTGTTCTCGTGCACAATTTTGAACGATTAAAATAAGTGCCACGTCATCAGCATATCGGTTTTTATTCTTGTGTCTTTTTGAACCCAAACGTCTCACCCGTTAATAATCGACCCAACTCCCTGAAAACTGGAGCCCTTTTTAACCAGTCTTTCATTCATCATAAATTCATCTATCACTGTCATTACACTCTTCACATCAACACTTCAAACCTGTTTCCTCTTCTTTCTCTCTTCAGTCTACCAGATCGTCTCTCTTCTTCTCACCATGGCCGAAAATCAAGGAAACTCTAGTGTTCCAAGCAACACTCCCACTGAGTCCTCACCAGTTGCAACACTAACACCAGACTCTTTTCTCCACCCTAGTGCTAGCAAAAACCCTAGAACAGAGTCACCCCCACATTCCGTCTCCTCTCCTACCCAATCGACCTCCGATTCTCGCAAAATATCGGCTCCCAAAAGATTTATATCCCAAATCTCTTCTCCTACTTCTCCGAAAAAGGGGGATGAAAAGAGTACTGCTGAGAATGACAAAAATCAGGAAATCTCAAGTCCTCATATGGAAGTAAGGTAAGTAGATCAAACTGACGGGTTTTAAACCGTTGACTCAACAAAGATTTCTCCTGATCTCATGTCCCCAGGTAACCTCCTACTTCTCTTGAGACTCCTATGGAGTTACAAGAAAAGGAAGCTATCGAAATATCCTCTTAGGACCTGATCCCCCTTTAGAGGATCCAACTCAGGGGTCCCTCTTAGGAACCCCAGGATAGTACTGACCCTGTTCCCTCTCCTCATTTAGATGATGAGCCTCTGAGTGTGGTTGTGCCTAAGATAAGCCCTGTGTCTGAAGAACAAAAGGAGGATAGCGAAGGGGATTCAGATGATTTGCCAATTGCTAGTTTGCCTAGGCGTACATCAGTTGTTGATAAAAGAGCCAACTCCTAAGCGACCCACTACAAGGTTGCAAAAGAAGGAGGCTCTTGATTCTGCGATTAAGAACAGTCAAACTAGGTTAAGGAGATGGAAATTAGTAAAAGATGGCAAAGTTGTGAATGAGAAGATAGTGGGTGTTGTGTATGTGGATGAGGAAGAAGCCGAGGAACCTAGCTCCTTGACTAGAAAGCTCTCATAGAATCATGGTCTCCCCAAGCCTAAAAGGGGATCTTCTGTGTCTGCTAAAAGTCTGAATAAGTTTGATGATGATGCTGGTAGCAAAAATGTGGTAAAAGAATCTGGAAACAAATGTGTGGAAGTGTCTGGTGCTGTTGTGATGGAAGAATTGGGTGAAAAATCCGTGAAGTCTGATGAAAAGGGGAAGAATGTTCACAAGTCTGCAAAGAGAAAAACTGATACTGATAAGGAACCAGGTTCCTCAAAGAAGGCCAGAGTTGGTAATCCAAGGAGTGTTGGGAAAGAGAGATTGAGAAGTCAAAAGGTGCTTTGGAGTCGCACTTTTGCCCCTGATATCTTGGAAGGGGCTGGTATGAGACATTTGGTTGATATCTGTGAGTTCCAACAGTGAACACACCTGTTCACAAGTGATGCTACTAGGTGTATAAGGAAGAAGTTCAAAGTTCCTATGCTGACTTGTTCAAGGTTGAGGATGATCACATTTGTTCCTTTGTGAATGAAGTTGACATGGTAATGGACTCTGCCCTGTTGAGGTCTATTCTTAGTGTGCCTGATGAAGGGCTGTCTAGTGTTCAGGGCACATGTTCTCAAAACTTCAGAAATGCAATCTTGAAGGACAGAGCAACTCAGCAAGGGGAACAGGTTCAGTAGAAGGCCCCCCCGTATACCAACTGCTATTTGAGATGGTGAACAAATATTACTGCCTCAAGCTGAGAGAAGATCTATCACCGCTCGTGCAGACTTGTTCCTCATGGAAGCACTGGACAACTTCACCACCATCAATCTGCCTGGGATAATGATAGAGCACATGAATAAAGTGGCAGACTTTAAAGATGGTAATCATGGGTTGCCGTATGGGTTCCTTCTCACCAAGGTATTTGAGCACTTCAAGGTTCCTCTGGACAAGTTAAAGTGGGCACCAAGAAGCAAACTTTTCAAAAGCCACTCTTGAAGAATGTGAGTGTATTGAGAAAGTTGGAGGGGTTGGAAGCACTTCTACCATATCTCAGTTGATAATTGCTCAAAACAGTGCTACTACTGAGATACTGCACCTGAAAGCAAGGAATGCTATCCTTGAGACTCAGTTAAGTCAACTACAAGAGGCACCTGGTTCCAGTAGCTCCCAAAGTGAAGAGGTTGCTCGTTTGACAAAAGAGAATGATGATCTCAAGAAACAATTGAGGACCTGAAAGAGAGACTGCTCAATGAGCAAATGTCAGCAAATGCTCGAATGGATTTAGTCCTCCAAACCCTTGCCTCTGCCTCTAAGCCCTTTCCTTCTAATGCTCCCTAAATGGTGTCCCCTCAGTGTCAAGTCTATGATCGATTATGGTCAAGTCCCTCAGTGTCAGTTCTTATGATGATAATTTGTGGTACTTTTTTGTTGATTGTTCTAACTTGTGGATGTGGTAGTAACAGTGACTCTGCTCCTGTTGAAAAATCCAAATTATGTTAATGCAAGCTTTGCTCTTTTTGTTGGTTATACTTTGCTTTATATGCTCTATTTTTAGTCATGATTATGTGCACATAAATGGCATGAGTTAACTTAAAGCTAGACTTCTTTATTGCTTAAAAGCCCTTTCTGATTTTTTTATGATGCCAGAAGGGGGAAGATTTTTGCATAATTGTGCACTGATTAAGGGGGAAATACATATTCAGAAGGAACTCTGAGGTTTTTGGTGCACTGTCTGGTTCTTTATGGTCCCTTGTACGATTTTCAATTATGGGTTTGTCATCATCGAAAAGGGGGAGATTGATAGGCTATAAGGACCTTGCTTTATGTTTTGATGATCTAACAAACTTACTATCAAAAACCAGATAAGGAACATGTTACAAATTCAAGATCTTAAAATCACAAGGTTCCAGCTTGGGATATGGTTCAACTCTCTAGAGTCGAAGGAACAATTGAGGAACAGGTCCCTACCAGCTCTCGAGGTGACTGTACGAAGTCAACTCTCCGGCTGGAAAAGTTGTTGCCTGCACACGCTATGGTACAAGAACAGTGCGACAATCAATTTTCTGTAGAAGGCTTTTTACTACCTTGCTTACATCATTGTATGTGAGGTCACACATGTATTATTAACATCAAGGGAGGTAAAACACATTCACTTGAACACTTAGAGACTTTACTGAAGCTCACTCACATGACTGATCATCCACCAAGCAATTCTCAAGTGCATCAAGAACAAAGAACAAAATAACTATGGACCAGTTCCCACATCAAGTTATTGTTTGTCCTTAGTTGAGTTGTAACCTTGAAATAGTTCTTCAAGTGTTATTCCTACTTAGCTTGTTTAGAAGTATTCTGTAGGAATCCTTTTGTAAATCTTAAACCTTCATTTTGGGTCTTGGCTAGAGTTAGTCGAGTTGTAAAATCTTTGTAATAGAGTTATTACAACGTGGCTTGTAATAGAGTATTACATGTTAGTGAGGGATTAAGAGGTTAATTCCTAGATTGCATAGGTTGTAATCTAAAAGTTGCTCAGTAGTGAAGTTCAAATCCTACAAGGGTAGGTCGTGGTTTTGAATCCCGTTGATTTGGGAATTTTTCACGTAAAATTCCTCTTGTCATCTACTCACTGCAGTGTGCGTGTGTTATAGTAGAACTGATAGAGAACTTGGTTCTCTATAGAGTTTGGTGGATCCTTATATTCTATCACTGATGCTGTTCGCGTCCTCTGGCAAAGCTGGTCCTTTCCCGGTCGCTCAACAACTCTTTGAGGTGTCCTTGTCGAAGAGTGTTTACGACCTCCTGTCTTAGGGCGATGCAATCCTCGGTTTTGTGTCCTCGTTCTTGGTGGAACTCGCAAAGGACATGTGACTTTCCGGTGCTCGAATCCGACCTCATCTTTTGTGGCCACTTTACCTTTGGTCCGAGATTCTCCAATGTGTAGACTATTTCTGAAGGTAACACACAAAAATTTTGAGCATATAACAAATGGGGCATACCTCTTTCGTTCCGGTGAGTCCCTGTCCTTGGCTTGGGTGGGCCCTCTTCATGGCAGGAGGGGGGCACAATGGCGCTTCTAACATATGGTAGATGTCGTTCCTGGTTGGGTCGCAGAGCTATGAGGTCGCTCTTAACATCATTTCTGCGATCTTTTCTGGATTCGGCTTGTACCGAGGTCAATCCATGGGTCGACCCATTGAGATCATCCTCGTCTGCTTGTACCTCGGCACAATATGCATTGTGTATCTCATCCCAAGTAGTTGGCGGGTACTTCATTAGCCGACTTAATAGTTTTCTCATTGCCCTTGAACCATTTCTGTTCAGCCCGTTCTAGAAAGCTGCAATCACCATCCCTTTTGATACATTCGGCAAGGTCATCCTTACTCGATTGAAATGGGCGAGGAAGTCCCTCAGTCTCTCCCAGAGACTGTTTGATAGCAAATATATCGTTTACTCTCACTTCTGCCTTTTTGGCCCCAATGTGGGCTGTTACGAACTTGTCGGCCATTTCTTTGAAGGTCTCAATGGAACGCGTAGGCAGTTGTGAATACCATGTCAATGCACCTCCCGTGAGGGTTTTGCCTAATTTCTTAAGCAAAGTGGAGGATACTTTGTTCCTTGGAGAGATCATTGCCTTTCACGGCGGTGACGTAGTGAGTTACATAGTCTTCAAGATCGGTCGTTCCACTATATATTTTCAGTTAGGGCGACATTTTAAAGGTTTTGGGTATGACATGCGAGGCGGCATCATCACTGTATGGCTGCTCGATAAACGACCAGCATCTCTTTTCGGCAAGAGTTTCCGGGCACCTGGTATCTTATCGACCCTTTCTTGGTGCTCTCTCATTTGGTCCCAAAGTACCTTATTCTCGTTCTCCATTTCTTCCATATTTTTCAAAATGGCTGCGATGGTGTCGTCACCTGCATTATTAACGATTTTGTGAGAAATACCTGTCGTTGGAGGAAATGGCTCACGCTGCTCGTCCGCTGGTAGTATAATGCACGTCCTTGCATTTTGTGCAACCGTATCCTGAGTGGGCTTATGAAGGATGCTGGTTAGCGTGTAAGTTAGCCACGCCTCGAGGAGCTTTTTTACTACTAGTGGTGTCTCTTCCACCACATACGTGGAAACTCCCTTACCATGAGATTTTGTGATGCTATAGTGAGGAGGGGGTGATCCGCCTCGCCTAAGGGAGGCGTTAGGCGTTGTATCCTCGTCCTCTGCTCCAGACATCTCATTGATGGTGTCCATGAGGTTGGTTATGAGGTCGCCCGTTACTCTCATTCTTTCCTCTCTGTTACCTGCCATATTAGATCTGTGCGCACAAAGAAAAGAGGTTCGTTTTTTTAAACGTTATTAACAGTCCGTGTTAGTTATAGATCTAGAGGAAACTAAAAATTTAACTAAGAAATCTCCATAGACAAAATTGTTTGACCAAAAAGTATAAACTTTTGGTTAAACTATTATTTTTTATGTAATGAAGGGCTAAACTTAGTTAATGATAATATCCCTAGATATAGATCTTCAAAACACGGATAATGTAAGACACAGTCAGTGGGAGATTGAAATAACATGCATTTAATATTCCAAAAGGTTTTAACAATAATTGAGGAGTAACTAGCAATAAATAAATAAATGATATTTAAGTAAATAAGGGGAGTGATTCACCAAATAATGAATGAGGTAGATGATTGTTCCTCCTAACAATGATGAGTGACAGACAAATCCTAGAATGTTCGAACTATTCTCGGATCTGATGGAAAAATATGGAATAATGTGAGTAAGAATATTGATGAAAAGCTAAAGTTTGTCTCTTTTCTAGAGAGAGAATCTTCTAAAAAAAAGTGTTCTTATTAAATGAATATTACATACCCTATCCCATTTTCTCTTTTTCTATTTGTATGAGACATGTTTCTAACAAACCCTAATAGTACAAGTGCAGAGAATATTCTTTAATATCCTATTTCAATCACTAGCCGTTATTGTTCTTTACACGATGCTCGACCTCGATCATGGTGACATCTCGGCCATGAACCCTCGTGCTGCTTTTTGGTCGACCTCGACCAACTTTTTCCTTAATGTTATATTACGCTAAATATCCTGACTTAGGGCAGATTTTGACCTATACAAATACCGAAGAATCGATACCCAATTAATTCTCTCTGTTCCGATTTTCGATTTTATGCCCACCATAGCTAAAACCACTCTCCGCCCGAAACTACTCAAACCGACAACGTATTTACGTAGTTCTTAAAGTTTAACGACACCGTCTATCTTTCTCTTTTTTCGGCGGCGAGTATTCAGATTCAGGTTTCCCTCAACTTCAAAATTCAAATATCAGTCCTTAATCCGTAAATAACTCCCGATCCATGTCCATTTTGCTAAGATCCCATAAAACCTTCTTGTATTTTATATAAAAGCCTCCTTTTTCTCCTCTCTCAAAATCAAAACCCTTCGCCATCTTCCTCTCTTCTCCTGTAGATATATAAGTACTCCTCTCTATACACTTGCTGTGTGTATCTATATACACATATTCCTCTCTATCTGCTAGGGTTTTCATTTGAATTCATCGAGGATGTCGTTGAGGCCGAACGCGAGAACCGAGGTTCGTCGGAACCGGTATAAAGTAGCGGTGGACGCGGAAGAAGGTCGGCGGAGGAGAGAGGATAACATGGTTGAGATTCGTAAGAATAAGAGAGAGGAGAACTTGCAGAAGAAACGCCGTGAAGGCCTTCAGCCTAATCAACAATTTAGTCTTCCTGCTCACACCACCGTGGAAAAGAAGGTCAATAGTAAACATCTCTTCTGTTTTCTTACTGCAGTGATTGTTAGTTAAGCTGTAAATTTAGATCGGATTAAGTTTCTGGCTTTATACCTTTTGTATTTTCCTAATTTAGGTGCTTATCGATTGAATAATGTTTTTCGTTAGGGTTAGAGTTTGAAGCTAGAAAAATGTTAAGGTAGATTGTGAGATTTAGTATTTTCAAGTTAATAGTACTCTTCGAGATTATGAATTGAATTTGGACTAGTATTTTCAAGTTAATAGTACTCTTCGAGATTATGAATTGAATTTGGACTATTATTTTCATCCAAAATTTAGCTATATTGTTTTTCCTTTTTTGGTGTTTTTAAAATTATTTTATACATTACAACAACAACAACAACAAACTCAGTGACAATCCCACAAGTGGGGTTTGGGGAGTATAGGCTGTACGCAGACCTTACCCCGATCTTCGTGAAGGTAGAGAGGTTGTTTTCGATAGACATCGGCACAATAAAATATGTAAAAGAAGCAATAGCAGCAAGCAGTACCAACAACACAATGTTAGATAAATCAAAGCGAAAAAGACAATGAAGTGGATAGGAGTAAGAAACAGAACAACATATAGTAATAACTAAGACTAAAGGAATGCAGGAGCAATACGAATATTACTAGTATGGAAAAGATAAACACTTTGTAACCTACTAATCCTCTGTCCTAATCCTCGACCTTGACACGCTCTTATTAAGGGTTATATCCACGGTTAGCTGTAGTTGTGCCATGTCCTGCCTAATCACCTCCTCCCACAACTCCTTTAGCCTACCTATACGTCTCCTCATACCCACCACGACCAACCTCTTGCATCTCCTAACTGGGCCAATTGTGTCCCTTCCCTTCACATGCCCAAATCATCTTAACCTCACTTCTAGCATCTTGTCCTCCACAGGGACCACTCTTACATTGTCCCTAATATCTTCATTCCTAATCTTATCTCTCCTGGTATGCCCATACATCCATCTCAACATTCTCATTTCTACTACTTTCATCTTCTGTGACATTTCTTGACAGGTTAACGCTCTGCCTCATACAACATAGTTGGTCTAACCACTACTCTATATAACTTAACTTTAAGTCTTAAAGGTACATTCTTGTCACATAACATACCGGATGCTAACCTCCATTTCATCCATCCCACTCCAATACAATGTGTGACATCATGTCAATCTCCCCGTTATCTTGGATTATTGACCCAAGGTACTTAAAACTAGCTCTCTTGTGGATGATTCGTGGACGTGAGGCTTGACTCATGAGTCATATTATTGAATATTGGAAAGAAATGGGCCATATGGAGCCCTAGTGATGGGTCAAGTGTCGGATAGATGTGGCTTTTCTTTCAAGTCAGATGGGAGACTTTCTGTAACTATTTTAGAAGTTCCCCTCTCCTTATACATGAAGAAGTTTCTTGTGTTATTTTTGAGAAGCATATAAGAATTATTGGTCAGTCTGAAATGGTTTTGTTTACTGTGTTGACTTATTCAAAGTGTTCATTGAGCTTCTTTTCTGCGCTATGGCAGTCTTGTGTCCTTCAAATTTAGAAATGGATAGCGGATATTGATTAACGTTTGTGTTTGCAGCTAGAGAACTTACCAGCAATGGTTGCGGGTGTGTGGACGGAAGATGGAAATCTACAGCTTGAGGCTACTACTCAGTTTCGGAAGCTGCTCTCGATAGGTAATCATTGTTTTATGGGTTTGTGTTATTGTTTTACTCCTCTCTTGTGGTTACTTGGACTTTCAGATAATCTCTCTGATCATACTATCAACAGAAAGGAGTCCGCCAATTGAGGAAGTAATTCAAGCTGGCGTTGTTCCTCGTTTTGTTCAATTTCTTGTGAGGGACGACTTTCCACAACTTCAGGTGTTTGCCACCTTGCTTTCTTATTCTTGAATCTTCTTATGGGAAGAGAAGTGATAACACCTTAACTTTTCCCTTCAATGGTTTTAGTTTGAGGCAGCATGGGCTCTCACAAACATTGCTTCTGGGACATCTGAGCATACCAAGGTGGTGATTGAATCTGGTGCAGTCCCAATTTTTGTGAAACTTCTTGGTTCTCCTAGTGATGATGTGCGAGAGCAGGTATATACTAGTAGAGGCAAATTGAAACTTTCATAAGTTATTTATGGGTGTTTGTCTCTGTGAACTGTTATCAGTTATTGAATGTTAGTGTTTGATGGTATTGAGAACATTTTGGATATTCTCCTTTCCTCATTTAGGCTGTGTGGGCTCTAGGAAATGTTGCTGGTGATTCCCCAAAGTGCCGCGATCTTGTCCTTAGCTGTGGAGCTCTAGTTCCCTTGCTATCTCAGCTGAATCCAAATGCCAAGCTGTCTATGTTGAGAAATGCGACGTGGACACTTTCAAATTTCTGCAGAGGCAAACCACAGCCTGCTTTTGATCAGGTGGATCCTTAAGGCTTAATTAGCTATTAACTCTTCTAAATTGCAAATATAAAGTGGTGATCTCTGATAAGTGCTCTTTCATTTATAAAGATTTGCTGTAACAGATAGTACAGTTGTGTATGGTTCATATTAGTCACATTCTTCATTGATGCTGAGCAATAACTAATTCTATTTGCTCATCCATAGTGTTGCTTGGTGGCTTGTTCCATCTTTCTCAAAAGCTGATAGATGATTCATGCTTTATGCATTGAGCTCAATCCTGGATAAACTTTTTGTTTTTGCACTCAGTGAGGCTTTATTAAAGATTATTAGCAACCAGCACGGATGTCTAAATACAGTTGGCCTGCCAACCCAATAGATGTCTTTTTACTGGAAGCAAGTTGAACAATTTTTATTTCTGGTTAGTATTT